CCCCCGCTGCATCCCACCTTCAGTCAGGTAGGGGTCTTCTCGCTCCCTGGTGACCTGGCCGGTTGTAGGGTGGGGAGGTGGCCTGTCTCCTCATGGTGCTACTTGCCAGGAGCCCCTGTGTTGTCTCTGGACCTCCTCACGTCCAGCCTACGAGAGCTTCGGGTGACCCGTGGGCTGTGCCTCCGTTTCCCATGCAGCAGACTCTGTACATGGAAGGGGCTGCACGTGGCTTTTCTTCGCGTTAGTGTCTTCTGCTCCACAGTGGCTCAGGGGGGGAGAGCAGGGGGTCTTGCACGTACGTGGCTGTAACTCAGCTGCGCCTCGGGGCTGTGTAGGACAGGGTCTCAACCTCTCCCCACAGAACAGCAGCATAACTTCCTGGGGCTGCCCCATCGCTTCTTCTGGAAGAGAGACCCTGGAGAAGGCTGTTTGCTGGCAGGGGGTGGGGGTTCCTCTGGGCTCAGCGGAGGAGAAGCAGGAAGGTGGGGTCGGGCTGTGCCTGCTCTGTGGATGGGGGTGTCCGTGTGTACAGGCGGACTCCTGCTGAGCTGCTTCTTGTCTCCAGGCGAACACAGAGCCGCCAAAACTGAGCCGAGAGGAGCAGCGGGGCCGGGGGGCCCTCCTGCAGGACATCTGTAAAGGGACCAAGCTAAAGAAAGTGACACAAATCAATGACCGGAGCGCACCGATCCTAGAGAGTGAGTACCCGCCTGGCACGTCCCTGGGAGGCACTCAGCCCCACGCTGGGTGCTGCTGTGCCCTTCAGGATGGCTTCTTGGCTCTCACCCTTTCTGGTTTCAAGTGGCTCCTCGTTGGAGGAGCTGATAATACTGGACTTAACCTCTCTGCCTTTTTCATTTCAGAACCCAAGGGCAGTGGTGGCGGCAGCTACGGCTCTAGCTCAGCTGCGATCCAGCCGAAGGGCGGCCTCTTCCAAGGCGGTGTGCCCAAGCTCAGACCTGTGGGAGTGAAGGACAGCTCAGGTAATGGCCGTCTGACTGTGGTTGATATGAGGGTTCCCTGGGGAGGTCCCCGAGCAGGAGGGGGTTGAGGATCTTGCTGTGTTTGCCTGGGGATTTCAGCTGGTTAGAGGCAGGGACCCCAAATCAACACCTCACGTGTGGCCGCAGGCAAGCTGCGCTCTCTCCGTGCCGCAGTGTCCCACGACACAAACCTCTTTGGAGGGCCTGGGAGTCGCGTGTGTTGCTGAACGTTTCTCTCTGCTATTTTCTGTGGCAACTTGCCTTCCAGCCAGCCAGAGCGAATAGCAGTGGTGAGAGAGGAGCCGTGTGTGGCTGAGCACAGTGCCAGCTCCCTGCCTGTGCCAGACAGCGTTCCCTGCGGTCTGGCCCCGCTCGGCCGAGCGGGCAGGCTGCCCCGAGCTCTGCGCAGGCTCGAGGATGAAACACCGCACGTCGCTC